CCTTTCTTTCTATCTCCCTTTTCTTTTCTTTCCTTTTCTTTTCTTTCTTTCTTTTCTTTTTTTTTTCTTTGTCTTTCGAGATGGTTTCTCTGTAGCCCTGGCTGTCCTGGAACTCACTCTGTAGACCAGTCTGGCTTTCAACTCAGAGATCTGCCTGCCTCTGCCTCCCAAGTGCTGGGATTTAAGGTGTGCGCCACCACTGCTACAACTTTATATTATTTTCAACCTTCAACAACAACAAAAACCTCACACCCATTAGCAGCCATTTCTCCGTTCTCTGCAGCCACGCACAAGCACCCATCTGCTTTTTGTCTGTTTAGACTTGGCTGCTTTTGAAGACTGCTCATCAATGGAGTCATTTGGGAAGTGGTCTTGGATGTGTATAGTGCTGTATCTGTAAGGCCCACAGGCTAAATGAAGTAGGAGGGTCACAAGTCCAAGTTTGTCCTGAACTACAAAGCAAGACCCTGTCTCAAAAAAGCCACAAAGTAAATAGATAATAGAAAAAAAGGGTGACCTTTTGTGACTTGTTTCTTTCCCTAAGCATAGTATTTCAAGGTTCATTCGAGTTGTGACATGTACAGCTGTTGTTACCGCGAGACCACGCTTTGCTACCTCTCATCATTGGAAGGACATTTGGCTGGTTCCCCTTTTTTGCTTGTCTTGAGTATAGCTGCTATGAATATTCACGTATAAGCTTTTGTGTGGATTCGTGTTTTTCACACACACACACACACACACACACACACACACCACAGGAATGGAATTTCTGGTTCACACAGCAACTATAAATTTTTGAGGAATTGCCAAACTCTTTTGCAAAGAAGCTGTACCCATCTTCGTTAATGCCAATGTTTGGGGATTCCCGTTTCACCAGATCTTTACTGAAAGTTGTATTGTCCACGTATCTCTTTAATCTCAGCCATCATAATGTGTTTTAAATGGTATCTAACTGTGGTTTTGATATGCATTTTTCTTTTAGAAAAAATTTATTTTTATTCTGTGTATGAATTTTTTGTCTGTCTGTATGTCTGTGTACCACATGCATGACTGTGGCCTCAGAGGCCAGAAGAGAGCGTCTGATCTTCACTGGAATTACAGATGTTTGTGAGCCACCAAGGGGTGCTGGGAATCAAACCAGAGTGCCCAGGAAGAGCAACCACTTTTTTTTTTTCTGAGACAAGGTTTCTCTGTGTAACAGCCCTAGCTGTTCTGGAACTTGATTTGTAGACCAGGCTGGCCTCAAACTCACAGAGATCCTCTTGCCTCTGCCTCCTGAGTGCTGGGATTAAGGTATGCGCCACCATTGCCCAGCTTCATCCTTAACCTCTCTCCAAATTAATTTTTGAGACAAGAGGGTGTGGTGGCCTATTGTCCAGGCCTACTATCCTTTTCTGATGGCACCAGTCCATCTGGGTTTTGTTATTGTTGTTTTTAATCCTTTCTGCATTTCCCCCTTCTTTGCACTGGGACTTGAACCTATGGTTTTCCCTTGCTGTTGAAGTAGCATCTGAGAAACCATCACCCAGCCCTGGGTCATAGGGAGTGACCCCTTTGTTTCCATCTAGACTCCCATGCTTTTAGCTTTTATTTCTAGATTCTTTGATTCATTTTGGATTAATTTTTATCTATGATGTGATACGGGAACTCAACTTCATTCTTTTGCATGAGGAAATCCAATTATCCTTCTGTTGTTTGTTGAAAAGGCTGTCCATTCCCCCACTGAATTGTCTTGGCTCCTTTGTGGACGCTCAATTGACCACAAACAACAGGGCTTTCTTCCCAGCATTCAGCTCCTGGTGTAGTTTTAATTACCTTGTACTTCTTTCATTTTGAGTTCTATGTGTAAAGCTTATTTTAGTTTTGCTGTGTGTGAGTTGTCTGATTGCTTTTGCCAAATTTTTAACAGGATGTCTGCAGATCATTTTCCTCCTGAGCTTTCAAAGGTTTTCAAATATTAGAAAAATCCATCCTTTGTGACTCAAAGTTCAAGTAGTGTCTTCCTGTTGGTCACTTATCTTTTGATTTGGATTGTGATGTGTTTTAGTCATGTAAAAAGTTTTTATTTATTTTTTGTAATCAAGTGAATCCATTTTTTGCTATACCTTGTTTTGAGGCATATTTTAACAGCAGTTCCTGCACCCAAGCTGCAGAACAATTCAGCCATCCTTTCAAAGCGTAGCCCTTGCCAGACATCTAGCTTTATATTTTATTTTGTGACTAAAGCTGTAATCCGATTGGAAGTTATCCTTGTTTGTGAGGTTAGGAGAGAATCTAATTTTAATTTTTTTTCAAGTGGTTTTCCATTTATCCTAATATTATTAAAAATTTCACCTTTGGCTCAATCTCTGGTAGGTGAATCATACTCTAGTGGGGGGCCCTATCCCATGACTATGTGAGCAGCACAAATCAGAGCTAGTGCTATAAAAAGGTAAGAAAACAGCAAGTTGGGAAGCGGAAAGAGTGGATCTGGAAGGAGAAGTGGGCTATGAATATGATCAAAATACATCGTATGCGTGTACGAAATTCTCAAAAATTAGAGAAATTATATTTTAAATGCCACCTTTAGGCTAGGAATATAGCTCAGTAGTAGAATATAATATGTATAGGACTCCAGGTTTGTTAATCCCACTGGGCAAGAATAAGACCACTACTACAATTTTTGAGCCAAATTTGAAGCAAGTGTTATTAAATACCGGCCAGGTCCATATCCAGGATTCCCAGAGTATGGCACCAAATTACATTAGTCAGGGGCTTTATAAAGGCAAAACCCACGAGGCTACATGCTTTCTGCCATTGTCCAATCAGGGCAAGCATACATCTTGATGTACTTCTTGCCTATGTACCTCCCACCTACAAGATGTGATCAAGCACATCTTGTACAGTTGGGGCAACCAAGCCTGTTTACAGAGCAAAAACACAGGGCTTATTATCTTCCATGAATAGCCTCCAGCATTCCAGAAAGTTATCTGTCCTTGGGCAAATGGGGTTTACAGCTTAGAGGCATTTTTGTTTAATGGATCTCTTTTTTTGTTTGTTTGTTTTTCGAGACAGGGTTTCTCTATGTAGCTTTGCGCCTTTCCTGGAACTTGCTTTGTAGACCATGCTGGCTTCGAACTCACAGCGATCCTCCTGGCTCTGCCTCCCGAGTGCTGGGATTAAAGGCGTGCACCACTACCGCCCAGCTGTTTAATAGATCTCTTAAGCACAGTAATTTAAAACATAATGTTAGCTCTCACAGATTCCATCCCCAGCATCACCACACACACACACACACACACACACACACACACACACACACACACACACAGAGTTCCAGCTGGACCTGGACCTGATAGCTCACACCTGTAATACCAGCACCTGGGAGGCTGAGGGAGGTGATTGACTGGGAGTTTGAGGATAGCCTGGGATACCAAGTGAGACTGAAAGACAAAGTAAAACACAAAGTTCCATCTTTATGATTTACAGCGCAATGTCAATCTACCCACCTCATTAAAAATGTTGGTGAAAATATTTGTGAATATCATTTGTAAAGGACTTACTGAGAATACACAGAGAACTCGTACAGGATCGTGTTAATCTCAGTACTGGGGAGGCAGAGGCAGGCATAGCTCTGTAGTTCCAGGCGAGCCAGGGAATTTCATTTTTTTTTTTTTTTCAAGACAGGATTTCTCTTATGTAGCCCTGGCTGTCCCGGAGCTCTCTTTGTAGACCAGGCTGGCCTTGGACTCACAGAGATCTGCCTCCCCAGTGCTGGGATTAAAGGCGTGCACTACCACCACCCAGCCGAGAAACCCACCTTGAAAAAAACAAAGTAGTTGATCTCCTTTCTTTAAGGCTTTCCCATACATCCCCACTCCAGTGCTCTTCCCTCTCTCCCTTACCTTCTCCCCTCCCCCTCCCCCTCCCCTGTGTGTGACAGTTTTCTCAATTTTTATGCTTAGCTTAACTTTCTAATAATTTTTTATTTTGTTTTATGTTTATGGATGTCTTGCCTACATGTATGTTTATGCACCATGGGCATATCTGGTGCTCACAAAGGCCAGAAGAAGGAGTTTGATCCCCTAGAACTGGAGTTACATTGTAAGCCACCATGTGGGTGCTGGGAATCATGTTCGGTCCCCTAGAAAAGTAGCTGGTGATCTTCCCAAGCCATCTATCCAGCCCTCTAGCTTAACTTTTCTTGTTTAATTGCATTAGCTTATATCTCCAGCACAATGCTAAGTAGTAGCGGAGGTGAGTGTGTTCTTGCTTTGTTCCTGGGCTGTAATGTTTGGGGACTATAATTTATGTTAAGGAATTATTGTATATACCATTTTTGTTAGCTTTAGGTGTTAGTGTCTACCTGGTTAATAATAAAAATTTGGTCTAGGGCAGCCAGATCTACATAGTGAGACCATTGTCTGGAAAAAAAGAGAGAGAGAGAGAGAGAATTTGGAAATTTACCCTTGTTTACTCTATTCTGGAACACTTTATGTAGCAATATGACTTTTAGTGACTAGACACAATCCTCCTGTGAGGCTGAGTATGGTAGTGTGGTGTCTGCTGCCATGGGGAGCCCCTCAGTACTGATCCTGTTCCTATCAGTCCTTTGATATTGATTTAACTTTTCATCTTCGGTAAGGTCAAATTTTGTCAACTGTATTTTCCTAAGACATTCATTCCATTACATTTGTCCCCCACCCTGGGGGTTTCTTTTATCATTCCATTAGGTTTTCACAAATGCTGTGCAGGCTGACAGTATTGGGGGATGGATCTAGAGGGTGGTGGTGATCTGCTCAAAGGGTCAAGGCCTCCTGGATGAGACTGGTAACCTTATAAAAAAAAGACCCATGGGCAAATGTGGTGCCACATGCCCATAATCCCTATACTTGTGAGACAGAAGCAGGAGAAACTCTGAAAGTTCAAGGCCAGCCTGGTATACATAGCCAGGTCAAGGTGTCATCTATGAACTGGAAAGTGGTCCCACTCTACTCTGAATTCATAACTGCTAGCATCTGTAAACTCTCCAGGTTCAGTATTTTGTTACAATATCCAAATGGACCAAGACAAAGTCGGTGTGTAATGAAGTCACCTTTTTGGCTTCTTCAACAATAAGAGCTTCTTCCCTGGACATTTCCTACTCCATATATTTGTACTTTATCCTCCACCACATGCACACTTTTAAAGTTGAATTATCTAGTAGATTGTCTATTTTATGATATTCAAAGAACCAGAATTTTGATTTATTTTGGTCCGCTGGGTTTTTTTCAGTTCTCCACTTTTACCTTCCCTTTTTGTCTTTATTATTTTGTTTATACTTTCTTTTCTATTCTTTATAGCTTGAGAAGTCAATTAAAATTCAGTTCACTTTAATTTTGATCGCTGCATGCTTTGGGGCCACGCATTTTCCTTGGGTGTGCAGATGTTCTTGGGCTAGCTCATGGATTCCAATGTGCAGCAGCCCTGTGCTGTCTGAAAGTCTCACTACACAGGGATTGTGAGGTGCACCGTTTTCAAATTTTCTGACTGAAAAATACACCATCGATCACATGTTTGAATCTCAGGTCTGAAGTCGGCTTGTCCGATACATGGGAAGGGACATGTTTAGCTTTGACAGTAGAGGGCACTGTCTCCTTTGCTCACTTTCTAGCTCCCTGGATCCCGAAGCAAAGGTGGTTTCTCTGGTGCCAAGTTCCTGGATGTGGACAGCCTCTCCAGAGCCTGCCTCGTGGTTGAGAGAACTTCTTTGGTAAGCAGTCCATGCGGCTGCTCCAGCCCCGCTCTTCAGTGATGGCTGCTTCTCCCTTCAATGCTCAGAAGCAACACCATGAGCAACCAGCTGCTTGGCGTCATCTCATAACCAAAAGACTCATTCCAATGAGGCCTGTCCTACCAACAGCTGCTCCATATTCACAAGGCAAATCTCCAGCCAATCCCAGGGGATGATTTCCAGCAACTTCCACTAATGTAGCACACCAGGAACTTACTTCTCTGCTGCTCACCAAGCCATGTTCTCTTTAAGGTTTGGCTCTCCTTACAGGGGCTCCTTGTCATGCTGGCTTAGACCGACAGAGTGACTGCTTATTCTCTGCCATTCCTGTTATTTGGAGGTCCCTTTGTCTTCCATAAAGTCAAAACATTGAGGAGGAGGCAGGAGAGGGTGCAGGAGCTAGCCAGAACAAAGAAAGAGATTCAGCGAGTGTTCTTTGAATAGAGGACAGGGGCTTGACCATGGCTTGAGTATGTGTGGGAAAGGACAGAGATGGAGAAATGGCCTGCAACTTGTAGATTTAGGGCTTATGGAAATGAACGGACGGCAAAGAGAAAAACGTCCCAAACAAAACACAGCTTGGCATGGAGGGTGAGAACTAAAGTTTGTTCTGGACAAAAAGTCCATCTGTGGACCAAATTCCAGTAGGAAATGCCTGCTGTGCGGGTTAAAACAGTGGTTCCCGGGATCCACTCCAGACCAACTGAATCAGAACCTCTGGGAAAAAAGATTGTCACAGGCTGCCCACGAAACTGACTCCATTCCAAGGCTTGCCACTATGGCACCTCATTCTCTCTTCCCTTCTTCCCTTCTCTCCTCCCCTCCCCCATTCTTGCTTCCTGGAAATGGCTGAGTAAAGATGGCAATGGGGACATAGCAATCTTAAACATATCACAACACAGATGCCCCAAATAACGCGAGGCAAAGATGATTAGAAGAAGCGAGTTCCACCACATTGCAATATCCATGACCAAAATGCAAAACCAATTGTATTTCTGTACATTTGCCATGAATGATCTGTACAAAAAGATGACAGATCCATTTATTGCAGCACGGCAAAAGGAGGTTTAGAAATCAACTTAACAAAAGTCAAGACTTGACATGGAAAACTACAGCTATGGAGAAGAACTTAAGACACAAGTAAGTGGGAAAATATCCACACTCCAAACTGAAGGCTTGACTCTGTCAGAATGGCAGTACTCGGGTACTCGTCATCTACAGAGTCAACACATTCCCCATCAAAATCCCAGCTGCTGTTTTTCCAGAAATGGGCAAGCCGATCTTAAAATTCATACAGAAATCCAAGGCACCCAGAATAAACAAAACAATCTTGGAAAAGAACAACAAGCCATGTGCAGTGGCAAATATAAGTAGTTCCAGCCCCTCTGGAGGCTGGGGGGTGGGTGTGATTTGAGCCTGGGAATTTGAGTTTAGCCTGAGAAACATAATGAAACTGGGAGACTCTAGGCCGGTCAGTGGTGGCACACACCTTTAATCCCAGCACTTGGGAGGCAGAACCAGGTGAATCTCTGTGAGTTTGAGACCAGCCTGGTCTACAGAGTGAGAGTCAGGCAGGACAGGCACCAAAACTACACAGAGAGATCCTGTCTCAAGAAACCCAAAAAAAAAAAAAAAAAAAAAGAAGAAAGAAAGAAAGAAAGAAAGAAACTGAGAGACTCCCATCCCATCTTAGAAAAAAAACAAAACAAGAAAACTAAAGGAAAAAAATGAAAAGGAACGAAGTCAAAACTTACTGTAAAGCTACAGTAGTCAAGTTCATTGTACTTGAATAGTTATGGCATAAAGACCAATGACTTCAAACTGAGAGCTCCGGGCTGGCTGTGGGCTACATGGTAAGATGGTGTCTCAAAACAGCAGCAATACAGAGTCCAGAAATTAAACTTGAAGACATATGGCCATGGATTTAATTTTTTAACATTTGATTACTTTAAAAATGGTAGGGGAGTATATATTGTATATGTAGTTATTAGTGTGGGTGTATGCCTGTGTGCATTGTTTGTGTGTGCATGTGTGTGCATGTGAAGAACAGAGGTTGACCCTGGGTGTCTTCCCTCCTCTGGCCGTTATAGGCACTCACACATGTACCCACACAAATAAAACCCAAGGTGGACACTCCTTAAGGAATAACAACCAAAATTGTTTTCTAGTCTCCACAGACTCATATACATATGCATGTCCGCTCATGCGTGTGCGCGCACACACACATTTGGGCATGATAATCCATGCCATTAATCCCAGCCCTCAAGAGGCAGAGTTAGGCATATCTGTGTGAGGTCAGCCAAAGCTACCCAGTGAGACTCCATCTCAAAAAAAAAAAAAAAAAAAAAAAAAAAAGTATATATACCAGTCATTTATCTACAAAGAATCATGTACCCACAGAGATATAAATGTATATATGTGTATCTTAGGTGTTAGATGGACTGGGTCAGGCAATGAATTCAGATAGGTGATGTTAGAAATGAAGTAAACGGGAAGGGTTAATAAAGTGCCCCTACAGAGCCAGGAGCATTATTATTGGCCCAGTTTTACAGGCAAGAAATCTGGGCTCTACAGAAAGTTAAAGTCATACAGGGAGTACAAGATGGAAGCCAGATTCCAACCCAGGAAGTTAATAGCAGAGCTGGGGCCGTGTTACGGCTACATGACTCGGCTCCTGGGAACATGTGTCTCTGTTCTAAGATGCAGGCAGGATGGTGAGGAAGCATTGCTAAGAATCTTTCCACAAGATTGCTCTCTCTTGCTGGCGCCAGTGTGCTGCTCAGCAGAAAGCCCTCGGCATTTGGGTGCCTACCATCTGTTTAATAGACAGCGCAGAAATCTTGGTTGCTGTAATTTCTCGAGTGAAATTCAGGACAAAGCAATCTCTTTGCAAATACTCAGGCAGCCTCTCTCCTTCAGGGAAGAGATAAAGTGACAAGTGTCTGACAACGCGAACATTCAGCGGGGAATGATCAGATAGATGGCTTTGTGACACAGGCCCTGACAGAAAAGCAATCTTTGAAAATCCATAACAACATTTAACCGTATACAGCTTTGTGTGTGTGTGTGTGTGTGTGTGTGTGTGTGTGTGTGTGTGTGTGTGTGTGTGGACTACAGTAAGGGTAAAGCTAATTTCTTCAGCGTTAAGTCCAAAATAGTGGACTTCTATTTCTGTGCTTTCATATAAATTCAGAGTTTCGGTTTTTAACCTTCATTTTTGCCTGTCTATCAAATGAATACCAGGCCCCAAACCTTCTTATTTTGGACTGTTTCTGTGAGCTAGAATCCCAGATGTGAAAAACCCCCACTCAAACGGTATGAACATTTTTAAAGCTGTTGATTGGCATTGCCAAACCTTTGCAAAAAGATTGAACCAATTTACACTCCCACCAGCAGTGCACGAGAATATATTTAAATGCAAATCCCAAGAAGCAGAGTGTCTCTTTCTTAGGTATTTCACTTAAAAAAAATTTTTTTTTTAATGCTAAGCAAAAGCTGACCCAGGGTTTTATAAAAGGAAAGTCTGGCATAAAAGTGGAGCATAGTTAAAACAGCTTAGGCCAAAAAAAAAAAAAAAAAAAAAAAAAGCTTTCAAAGACCCAAGCAGGCCGATAAAAATGTCAAGGCGCCATAGCAGCAAGCAGCGCAACTCCAAAGGGGCCATTAACAGTTTGGCTTAGCTTAGGATGGCCACCGCCAAGAATCTTGGGCGTGGTCGACGTACCAAATTCTAGTTTATAAAAAGCAGAATATTAATACTTCACTTTGTTCTAAGGACGACTTAAGATGTCTAACGCCAGGATCTAGAGAAGTTGTATTGTCTATAAAATGAAGCTTGTGGGAACGACACACACCCGTGCCCCGTCGCTGCAGGCACGGGACAGCAGGCCTGCGAAAATCTGAGGACACCTCTACCAAGCGGGTGCAGCGATGACAGGGGCTGCGGACGCGGAGGCAAGGGAAGCCCACACTCGGCGGCCAGCCCGCTGCCTCCACACATTCAAGGGGTGCAGGGATTTGCTGTCAGGCCAACCCCTTCAATCACGCCCGGGGCCGGCCCACCACCCAAGTCTCGCACGACTCCTTCGCGGTACTCTCTCTCCTACCCGCCGCACCAGAAGGAGCCCCACCTCCGCGCGGGCCACTTTGTCCTCACTGGGGTTCCTCCCCTTCTTTCCGGCCCTCCTCCGCGCGCCCCCTACTTTCCCGGCCTCGGGCGCTCGGCTCCACTCGGCTCCGCTCGGAACTCCCCGCCCCCGCGGAGCCTACAGCCAATCAGCGCGCGGCCCCGCCCCTCGCGGCCGT